GTCTAAGCAAAAACTTATTTCACCCTTAGTGGCTCCCACATGAATAGCATTAGCTTAATTGGCGAAATCGCTTTTCCTTACAGATATCTTTGACATGTCCAAATGCGCCAAATGGTTGTAAGCAAGCATATTTTATGTTTACTTGCTCGCTTATGGACAGCATATATCTTGCAATTTTAGGACATTGCTATTTGGCGTGTACCTTGCAGATTTACAATCAGTCTTAGAAATTTAAGATACTATTAATTAGCCTGCTTCCCGAGCTGGCACGCTGCCAAAAGTGTCTCCATTTTAACTTTAATATGTCCTTACGCGTACGTAACAGCTAAGTTTGAAAATTTTTGCTCAAATGGGTACAGAATATCCACGTGAATTTTCAGTTTCTCGTCTCATCTAGCTCCCGAAATCATTTGCCCGTCAAAAAACCATGTTTTTTTAGACAACTGTACGAAGACCTAGAAATACGTAAACGTTGGTTTTAAGCGTTTGAATGATATGGAGGCAACTAATACTCTCATAAAATTTCAGTTTTCTAGCTTCTGCGGTTGCTAAGTTGAATACGGGTCGCAAGATCTGAACCCACACACATTGCCAACTTCTCGAAAATATGCTTTTTGTGCATTTACATAAAGATGCAAAAACGAGTAAGAGCTGAGAATAAAGCAGTAAAACTGACTCGGATGCCAAGATGAGCGATTCCAAGCGAATGAAGATATTCGAGAGCGTACAGCAGATCTTTGGAAAATCGCTGAATCAGAGTTTCTGATATGTAACCGAGATGTGTGATATAGTCCAGCAAGTGCGGCCCATTCAGCCTGTAGGAAGACACGACAGCTGAAGAGAAACAGAAAGATGCATTCACATAACTCAAATTTGACAATTTATGCATATATGTTTAGCTGCAAAATTACTGGAACACTCATTAATAGAAAATAGCTAATTCCCCAGCGTAAGGTTTTTTTGATAGAACACTAAAACAATTTGAAATCAAAACACTCACACAATTTGAAATTAGTAGCAAGCGGGTTATAAAGCACATTTTTAACAAAAACTGGCCCTTTGAGATGAAGTGTTTTTCGCAGCACCAATTCTTGAACTTCATTTC